GAGATTGGTCACGTGTGTGTTCGTGTGACAGCTTGAAAGTGGGTAGGTGGCGGGTGGTAGTGGGGTAATGAAAAAATGTCCAAAATACTCTTAATGAGGATATAATTTTGATTTTATTTTAGCCATTAGATCATCTGATCTAATGACTACGATTTAGTCTCATTTCTTTCATTGAGAACAATTCTCACGTGAACCAAACCCTATATATATTTTTTATTTGAATAATTTATATATTTATAATATTTTTCTTTATATTTATATTTATAATATTTTCTTTATATATATTTTTTTTTAAAAAAAAAAAGAGTGGGCCACATATGGCTTCGTCTTTACACTCATATATATATAGGGATGAACACATCAGAATGATACTTAGTAAAAGAAATGAGAATAAATGACAACCCTCACATTGACTTTTTGACTTTTTGTGCAGTTTTATATGCGTCTCTGTGGCTAAAGTAATATGTTACTAGCTTTTTTCAGAGCAAATGACTCGTCATTTTGGCTCCTTTGATAGGATACAATTGTGTGTCATACCATCTAACAAAACGTATTTAGTCAAACGTAGCAACTAATTCAATAATTCAGATCGTTATTTTTCTGTTATTATTCCAAATTTCTAGGATCCTAATGATTTTTTTTTTTTTTCGGTACAATTAAGGAGGCCGGAGGCCTAAACGAGAACTAGGCTAAAACCCTACGCGGGTACGACACCCCAATAATGTCGTGCTCGAGCCACATGCCCATCCATGGGGGAGGAGAGGATCCTAAGGATTTTAAATGTTTTAACGATTTCATTTTACATGACAGTCTATCATCCAGGGCAACTAATTCAGCTATTCAGATCTTTTTTCTTTAGTTTTATTCCGATTTTTTAGGATCTTAAGAATTTAAAAACTTATATGGCTTCATTTTAAATGGTCGGTATATCATCCAGTTGACTGCAATGAACTCCACATTGATTGCAAGGCACTACAAAATATTTAAATGTGAGTAAATAATAACTAACAATGGCATCATTAAGATTTAAGATGTTCATAGCAAATAAGTTGTCTAAATTATGGAGGATTGGTCATCTAAGAGCATCTCTAATGCATTCTTTTGAAAGAATACAAAGTTATCCACATCATCTAGATAGAAAGTGTGTGAATAATTTATCCTCCAATGCATTAAATTATGGGCTCTTTCATGCTTATGTGTAAAAAATTAATGTTAACATTGTCAAGCTCACTTTCTAATTTCTCACATTCTTTCTAACATGATGACTAAGCATTTGAGTAATTATATGCACAAATTACTTAAACTTGGAGCTTTTTATAAACTTGGAAAAATCTAACCCTTCTATTAATCCAATAAATATTTTGATAATATATATGTACACAATAGAATCATTTGATAATGAGTTACAACTAAAATTAAAAAAAAGTTATCAATAATAATGTCATGAAAAATAAAAATATTGTGTTCATTATATTTGTTTGTTGAGTTTTTTTGTAGTTTTTTATGTTTTGTGGTTTTCTTCTAAAAGGATTAAAAA